TGCATCGCGGGTGCTGGTGCCCACCAAGGGCCAGCCCGGCCACCAGGAGAAGATGAGCATCTACCAGGCCATGTGGAAGGGGCTGCTGCGGCCCGGCACGGCCCTGGTGCTCCTGGAGGCACAGGCGGCCACCGGCTTCGTCATCGACCCCGTGCACAACCGGAAGCTGTCCGTGGAGGACGCCGTGGCCGAGGGCGTGGTGGGCGGTGAGATCCGGGAGAAGCTGCTGTCCGCTGAGCGCGCGGTCACGGGCTACACCGACCCCTACTCCGGGGAGCAGATCTCCCTCTTCCAGGCCATGCAGAGGGACCTCATCGTGCGCGACCACGGCATCCGCCTGCTGGAGGCCCAGATCGCCACGGGCGGCGTCATCGACCCCGTGCACAGCCACCGGGTGCCCGTGGACGTGGCCTACCAGCGCGGCTACTTCGACCAGGAGATGAGCCGCGTCCTGGCGGACCCGGGCGACGACACCAAGGGCTTCTTCGACCCCAACACGCACGAGAACCTCACCTACCTCCAGCTGTTGCAGAGGGCCACTGTGGACCCAGAAACTGGGCTCTTGTTTCTCCGTTTATTATAGCATCAATTTTGTTTTGTATTGTGTTTTTCTTGTTGGTTTCGCAATACTTGTCATTTTTCTTGTTCCAGTTCTGTTATAGGTTACTTTTTTTCTTTTTCGGTTTAAAAGTTTGTTTTCTCTTCCTTTTCTTTCATACATCCTGTTCGTTTTACATTTATAGTCTGTATCCCTTTCATTTATTCTTTTGTTCATAGCTCTTTCTGTACCCACCTCCCAGTTTTTCCTTTTAGTTTTCACTAACTTTTTTGTTTGTTTATTTTTAATTTTTTTGTTTGCTTATTTGTTTTATTGTTTTCCCCGAACAACTTTCATGTCATCTCTTTTTCTTCTCCTAAACCTTGAAGGAATTGTTCTTGTCAGGCCCTTTTTTGTCATCCTGCTATGTACGTTGCTCAAAGTATTCTTGAACTGCTTATATTTAGGACACCTAGAGGGCTTTCTATTTTGCTATGCCACCCTCAGGAAAAATGAGCTTTTGGGATATGGGCCCACTTGGAGTAAGAGAGTCACTGGGACCTTGACTTTGAAGAGCATAACTTTTCTTGGGTTTATCCAAGTCTCCCTGCTTCCTGAGGGCCACCAGGTAAGCAGATTTCCTCCACACTGCCTCTTACCATGATGCTGCATTGGAACCAGCAAAATGGACTGAAATCTGTAAAATTTTGAGTTAAAAATAAACCTTTTCATCATTTAACTTGTGGGTGTCAGGAATTCCATTCCAGAAATGGAAAGGTGACTAATACACCTTGTTAATTTGTTATGTTCCAATTCCAATAAATGCATTTATTTTCATTATAAAATTATTTTCATTTGTTTGGATGAGCTAAAGTCTTCAGTTACCTGGCTGTGGATTCATTAAAGGCAGGAAACTTCAAACACCCTCCCACTTAAAAAAAAAGAAAAAAATATCCTTCAGGGTGACAATCTAGGAGCAAATTGCTCTCGACCTTAATGTCTACCTATGAGGGTAGTCTGCAGATTCTAGTTCCTTAGTATAGGTTAAAGTGGCTTCAGGCCAGGAACTCTTCATCACATCACAAGTGGACAAAGTCCTCCTGAAAAAGATACACTATGTGGCACCTTCCATTCGTTCCTATAACTACATCTCAGAGAAGAGCCAGCTGACCAGGGACAAGCACCTGTGGTTCTAGCTATTTGAGAGTCTAAAACAGAAGGGTCACTTGAACCCAGGAATTAGTTCAAGAACAGACCAGGTAACACAGTGAAACTCCATGTCCAAACAAACAAATAAAATAATGAAGTGCCCAGCATATAATCAAAGAAACCAGTATGCACCAGGAGCTACAACTACACAGATGAGAACTCCCAGAAAATATAGATCAAGCAAAAGACATGGAACATAGCAACTTTGCAACAACCATGTCCACCCTGCCCATGATTCAAGCCTGAGCTCCTACCAGGAATGTGGAAATTATACCAAGAGAAATTCTAGAACTGCAAACAATAACTGGGATTAACAATTCAATATCCAGCTTTACCTAGTATGTGAGAAAAATCTGGAGGGCAACAGGTACTTGTAGAATAGCATAGAGTTGCTATGGAGAGAGCCACCTGGAGGAGGAAAGCAAGAGTAGTAAGGTCAGTCAGCATGTGCCAGATGCACTCTTCATAGGAAGGGGGCTGGAAACTGGGGCAGAAGATCCAGAGGGAAAGTTATTGGCAAGGAATTTTCCAGCTTTGATCAAAGACATTAATGTCCAGATTCAGAAAGTCCCCAAATCATGACCTATGTTGTAGTGAAAATGCAAATATCCAAGGGACAAGAGATAGTGTTAAGGCAGCCAGAGGAGAATGTCAGGTCGCCTCAGAGGAGCAGAGTCAGACAGTTGAACTTCCAAAAGCAGCCAGTAGAAAGATGGAGGAGACAGAGTAGGCTTGACAGACATCTAAGGACCCGGACCCTTCCTGCCCCACACATCCAGATATGAGCCCTTGTTGCGAGCAGGAGTGTGCACTAACTGGAGGTCGAGACAGTAGTAGTTGCCAACTAGATTTTTATATATTTTATATATATGTCACTCATCAAACATGTTATTCATACCCACCAGTTGCCACTCCCTGTACCTGCACAAGTCCGAGGAGCGCGATTTTGTTTCTCCTTTGCTGGTGACTGTGGTTGTCAATCCGGTTGTCTCCTCCTCGATCCGGGGGTCCACTCCTGGCAGGCGTCCAATGTCTCAACCGAGATCTCATCTGAGATCTCATCTGGCAGGTTGCCGTTGAGCTGGATTGGGCGTCCGAGTGGGATGAGTTGGTCTTCTGCACTCTCTCTAATACACTGTTCTAGCTTGGGGTGTACCACTGGTTTGGGTTTATCACTTCACACATATTGGGGGGTTAGATACGTCCTACGGCATTGTAGGGTGTCACAAGGCGTTACAGGGTGTCACTCATAGAGTCTGATGAGATACCACACTTCACTCTTGGGGGTTACACACAGGTTCCACATGTTAAGTCACTCTTGGGGGGTTTCACTCTTCACTCTTGGAAATACTTTTACATTGTCCTGGTCTATGTTCTCCACAGCCCCGAAGACGGGGGATTGTGAAGATAAAGCCATCTAAGAGGCCCAGCCTTCAATCTGGAGATATTAAGCATCCCCTGCCAGGACCTGTTTTAATTACTATAAGGAGCTGGGCCAAATCTAGCTTTTGTGCCCTCTGCTCTATGATGAGCTGGGGAGAGATAGCTCAGAAGTCCCTTTCTTTTCCTGTGCTCTACAGTTATCATAAAGTACAGAAAGAAGAGAAATTAAACAAGTTATATTGGCAGAAGGAAATCCTAGACACTAGACGTCACCTGGGCTGGGAAGTGGAGGGTGTCCTGGTGGACCCAAAACAGTCCTCAGCCAAGTTCCTGCCCTTAGAGTCTGAGGAATTTCTTCTTCCTTATTCTATGAACTGTCTCAAAATACACTGCATGCTCTTGGGCATTTGGGCACATTCACATACAGTGGCTTTATGTTCTTCATACTGAATGAGTCTGAGAATTCTGGTGCAGAACCTAATGACACTATTAACAAATATTTTCCCTGAAGAGTTTTGTTTTTATTTGTTTGTTTGTTTGTTTTTGTGGTACTGCGGATTTAGCCTAGGGCCTTCATACTGAGTTACATCCTTATCCCCTTTTATAAATTTTTAATTTTGAGACAGGATCTTACTAAGTTGCCTACCCTAGGCTTGAACTTGCCATCCTCCTGCCTCAGCCTCTCAGAGTGCTGGGGTTACTGGTGTGCACCACCACACCTAGCTGTCCTGAAATTCTTAGTAGTCCTCATAGAGCATGATCTACACTATAGTACGATCAAAGACACTCTGGTGGACCCTAAGACCAATGCCCAATAGCTACATGGTGAGGTTGGACAGAGGTTGGGTACACTTTATACCTGTTCATACCTGCCCAAGGAATCCCCACAACCGTTGAATTGGATGTGGTTTTTCCTTTTACTTCTGAAAAAAAAACAAGTATCTCCTATTTTGGAAGGGTTTTAGTGTTGATTTTATTTTGATGTTATAAAATATACATTCAAATTATAAGATTCCTCTAATAATCCTCTAAAGCTGGTCATGGTGTTGCATGCCTGTAATTCTAGCATTCTGGGAGGCTGAGGCAGGAGGATTACAAGTTCAAGCCCAGCCTGAGCAACTTAATGAGACCCTGTCTCAAAGTAAAAAATAAAATGGTCTGGAGATGTAGGTATTGCATGAGGGGCCTGCATTCGATGCCTTCTACCAGAAAGAAAAAAGGTTCCATTAACAGTGAACAACATAATTTTAAAGTAACTGTTAAGGGTTGGATTCTGTCCCTCAAAAAAAATTCAAATATTGAAGTCCCAAATTTGATACCTGAAAATGTGACTGTATTTGAATACAGGTCTTTAAAGAAGTGACTAAATTGCAATGGGGTCACTAGGGTAGACCCTGATCCAGTCTAACTGGGATCCTTATTAGAGATCAGGAGTCAGACACACAAAGATAGCCACATGAGGACATGGAGAAGAAGACATCTACACACCAAGGAGAGGCCTTCAGAGAATCAGTCCTGCCTGCACCTTATCTAGGACTTCCAACCTCCAGAGCTATAAGAAAATGTATCTTGCTGTTGACAGTCACTCAGTCTGTGGTATTTGTTATGACAGCCTAACAAACTAATGCAGTGACTATTTGTTAAATGAGAGTGAAATTACCACATTATGCCAGTTATTATATGTTAATGTTTTAATGTTCCAACCATTTTTAATTATCAAAAAATAAAGAAAATTTCCTTTGACATCTATTGTCAATCATCTCAACAAAAATGTCCAAATCTTTTTGCCTGAGTTATTGCATTGTTTTCTTGTCTCTCTAAATCCAGTCTTACAAACTGGGTATGGTAGTCCACACCTGTAATCCCAGCACTCAGGGTGGCTGAGGCAGAAGGATCACAAGTTCAAGCCCATCCTAAGGCAAGTTAGCAAGACTCTGTGTCAAAATTTAAAAAAATAAGAAGGGCTGGTAATGTAGCTCATTGTGAAAGCCCTGAGTTTCATCCTCAGTGAAAGAAAGAAGGAAAGCTTTAAACTTTTTTGTTGTTGTTGTTTTCTTTTCTTTTTTTTTCTTTTTTTTTTTTTAGACAGGGTCTCACTTTGTAGTTTGAGACTGACCTGGAACTCACTGTGTAGCCCAGGCTGGTCTCAAACTCACAGCGATCCTCCTGCCTCAGCCTCCTGAGTGCTGGGACTACAGGCATGCACCACCACGCCCAGCCTCAAAATTTTTTAATGTTTACACTCTCTGTGATGGTGCATTGCCACAATCATTCCATGGACAGTCTAACATACATAACCTTTGTCTATTAAAAGGTCTGTCCAGCAGACAACTTCATATTTATTTTTTTTTGTTCTGTTGAAAAACTGAAATTTGATCTTTTCAACAAGTTTTTGAAATAACTGAAAATGTAATGTTCAAATAGCTCTTTAAGGAAATTTGATGAATGTGGTATGAAAGGCTATCACTGACAGCCTTTTATCCTGAGGAAGCTTATCATAGCTATCAATTATCTTCTACATAGACATTGCTGTCTCTGTGCTTCTATTTCATATAATTCTTAGTAAACTTTATTGCTAGCCTTCTGATTTCTTTTTTGAAAGAACTGATCAGTATTGATCAACACTGATTCCAATCAGTATTGGAAATACACACACATACACAAGCTCATTTGCACCCACTCCCAATCTCTCAAGAGTATCAGGTGGCAGCCAGCTATGATCCAGAATGAGCAGATTCTTGCTATTTGGCTTTCCCAGTTCAGCTTACAACATGACTGGGTTCTTAGAGTGAAAACAGAAGCCATAGTCCTGTCACCCATCTCAGAGGGGGATGCCCCTTGTGTCAGCTGTGTTCTAATCTTGGAAGCATGTCTGAGTCCAGTCTGCACTCCTGGGAAAGGCCTGAGGGCCAAGAGATCTTCTACCTGCCAGTGAGAAAGAAAAAGGTAGGAATTCAGAGAAAAGGCCACCCAAATCCCCACAGGGCTCAGAAAGACCCCAAGGAGCCTGGGCAGGTTCATAGAGTAAAGTAGAAAAGATGGTGAGCACTAAACCTACAGATGACATTAAGTGCCACAATAAAAGGACAGACGGGCCAGAGATCCAGAGACTCCCAGAGAAAGAGTGTCCCCAGAGAATGTGTGTTATGCAATAAAGGGCCTGACTGAATGTGGGATGGACAGGCATGGAGGTAGGGGCAGCAGGACATTGGATCTGTAGCACCAGCAGAGGAAAACCAATGAGAATGTGCTTCAGCTGCCACCTCCGAGAGCTGGCAGTAACAGTCAGGCCACAGGATCATAGTGTTAAATGGTTGGGAAGCACTAGGCCCTCACACATGAACATATCATATGTACTATTGTTCTTTTTGTAGAGGGCATGACTGGACACTTATTAGTCTAGGACTGTCGTAGCAAAGTACCATAAATGAAGTGGTTAACAGCAACACAAATTTCATCTGTCATAGTTCCTGAGGCCAGATGTCCACAGCCCGGAGGTATGGGCAGGGCTGGCTCCTTCTGGAGGCTCTGGGGAAGAATTCACTTCAGGTACCTCTTGGAACCCCTGGTGGCTCTCAAAATCCAGGCAGTCCTCCAGTCTCTGCTCCTCCTAGCGTGAATGCATTCCTGGTTTCTCTGCACCTCAAGCCACCCTCTGTTTCCCTCACAAAGAAGCCAAATGTTGGGTTCAGGGCCCTTTCTGAGCCCAGCAGGACCTAATTTCAGGACCTGATTTACATCTGCACAGACCCTTTTCCCAAATAAGGCCATGTTCTTAGGAACCAGGGATTAGGACACAGACATGGCTTTTGGGGACCTCTTCTCAACTCCCCACAGAGTGTATGTGTTTGGTTATAGGGCAGAGAAAGAAGGAAATTCACAGAGTTCAGCTCAGATGCTACCTCTGGGGCTTCCTTGGGTCATACTACCTCGCCCACACTCCTGCTCACCTCCACCACTCAACACATTTTCTGAGGCTGCTGGATGTCAGCCAGAAAGAGTAGATATCTTGCCTTCCTGGAGATCAATACCAGCAGGGATACTGAGCAAAGCAAAGGGGAGAAAACAGACATAGTTAGGTGGTAAAAGTCAAGTGTAGTCCTGGCTGTGATCCTAGGCTAGGTGACAGGGTATCCTGCCAGAGGTGACATTTGAATCAAGACCTGCCGGAAGTGGAGTTGGAGGACACCTGGAAGGGTATACCAGGCAGAGGACAAAGCCAGGGCAAATGCCCTGTAGGGACAGCTAAGGGGTAGGATGCTAACAGTGAACTTGATTGGAGAGGGCAGAAATGAGAACATGAGCAGGGCCAACTGCTTTCACAGGACTGGATCCTCATGCTGAGTGAGAAGGGACCTTGGGGTCCCTACCAACACCCTCAGGCCCAGTGATTTACTGGTAGGACTCCTAGGACTCCGGAAGCTGTGAAAGCCTCAAGTGCAATTGCTACAGAGGAAAACCATGGTAGCAGAGGGCCTCTGGGCCAGAGTGTGGGTGTAGAGAAAATTGTCCTCCCACTCTAGCCAAAGTGCCTCCATCTTGAGTAGCTGTTCATGGGTCCTTCGCACCAGTATGCAGCACCATGGCTGGGAAGTGCATGCTGAGCCTGGCAGAGTTCCTGATAAGAATGATATGGGAATGGTAGACACAAAATTTCCCAAGAACCTTTCTTGTTTTAATCCTGTTTTGGCTCTTCTAACTAGTGCCCTATAAAATCAGTGGCTCAATAAAGAAGGGTTGATGACTTAGGTGATACTGTACTGTAGCCCACTGGTCCTTCACTGTTCTGTAAGTGACCCCTAATAAATTCAGTTCCTTGCCAGGCTGGACTTGGCTGAGTCATTCTTTGGATTGTCAGTTTGGAGACAGGTGTTTTTTTTTACATTTCTCTGGGAAATTTGTGGAACAACAGGCAAGGCCAGGTGTGGATGTCCAATGGTCCTCTCCTGTGCAGCCATTTGACAAGGTGCACATCTTCCATCAGTGACCTGACAGTGTGCACAAGTACTACCAGCCTTGGTTTCCAGGGTGTTACTGGGTTCTGCCACGTAGGCAATAGCTGGTCCTGACTTCACTGTCCAGCCCCTCCAGAGGTCAGGATGACACTGCACAGCCACAGGTCCCACCATCAGTCACGCTGTGAACACAGGTTGTCTGGTGTGGCCTCAGGTCCCAGGTAAACACACTCAAACCATGAAGGATGCTCCAGTGCTTCAAAGTGTGTCTCCCAGGCCCTGTTGCAGGGCCAGTATCTGGAAGGTGCAGAATGTGAAGCCCCATATTCACTGAGCTAATCCTTTTAAGGGTTGGGTAGATGACTAGGGCAGGCCAGAGGGTCTTGAGCAGAATTCTCTGGTGCCAGATAAAAGGTAGGAGAACAGTGTGATCAGCAGAGGGAGTTCCCTTGGGGTTTAAGCCTGAGGTGCAGCAGGCACCCTAATCTGTAGCAAAGGAAGGGGCAGGTGTGAAAGGGAGATGCTGTGAGGAGATAGTGGGGAATTGCAGCTAAGGAGTTTCTCATAGAAATCTTATAGGGTGTGGTCATGGCAGCCTCCTGATGTTTACTGTTGCAAGGGGGACGCACAGTAGGAGAAGAGAGTTTTAGGGAGAGAAAAGAGAAAAATTTGCTTTCTGGGAAGGTGGCCCTGTACGCAAAATGAAGCATAGAATGTTGAGTCAATAAGAGATTTGTGTTCATGAAGTAAAAGTCCATCCGCTCACAGCCTGCTGGTGTATTTATTCACTTTCAATGGCCCTCTCCGTGTTCCTTGGGGGACTGGCAGGAAGAGCTGGCCTCACTTGTGAGCCCGTGGGGTCTTCTGCAGCTGAAGCCGGAAGGCTATCGCCTGGTTGGGCCCCCAGATGCCCTGAACCCAAGTCCCCTCCAAACCCTTGGGGGCGCCAAGCTCGAGCAAATCCAGGTTGGGTCGCCGGTTGTGTGTAACAGGAATGGGGTGGGGATACAGAGCCGAGCGGATGCCGCCTCAAGGCTGGAGAGGACCGGACCAACACGACCCAAGCTGGCCCAAGGGCCCAAAGCAGCCTTTGGCTGGAGGAGCCGGGGAGGCTCCCTGGAACTCGTGGCTTTGCCGGGCGGGGCG